CCACCCCTGACCCCTCCCCCCCCCCGACCCTGCGAGCCCACCCCTCCCCCGCGCGGTTGCTGTGCTGTGCAAACATTAAAGAGGGGTTTGTGCTGCCCAAACGCCGCCTCCCGGTGTAATCCTTGCTCCGCGGGGGAGGGGAGAGCGAGCGCGGGGGGAGGGGAGGAGAGAGCGCGGGGGGAGGGGAGAGAGCCATGGGGGAGGGGCAGGGGAGGAGGAGGAGGTGGAGTCGGAGTAAAGTCAGAGTAAAGTCGGAGTAAAGTCGGAGTGAAGTAGTAGTAAAGTAGTAGTAAAGTCATAGTAAAGTCGGAGTAAAGTCGTAGTAAAGTAGTAGTAAAGTCATAGTAAAGTCGTAGTAAAGTAGTAGTAAAGTCGTAGTAAAGTAGTAGTAAAGTCATAGTAAAGTCGTAGTAAAGTAGTAGTAAAGTCGTAGTAAAGTCGTAGTAAAGTCGTAAAGTCGTAGTAAAGTTGTAGTAAAGTCGTAGTAAAGTCGTAGTAAAGTCGGAGTAAAGTTGGAGTAAAGTCGGAGTAAAGTTGTAGTAAAGTCGGAGTAAAGTCGGAGTAAAGTCATAGTAAATATGGATTAAAGTAGAAGTCATAGTAAATAGTGAAGTTAAAGTCACAGTAAAGTTGGAGTAAAGTCAGTGAAGTAGTAGTAAAGTAATAGTAAAGTAGTAGTAAAGTAGTAGTAAAGTAATAGTAAACTAATAGTAAAGTAATAGTAAAGTAATAGTAAATATGGACTAAAGTAGAAGTAAAGTCATAGTAAAGTAATAGTGAAGTTAAAGTCAGTAAAGTTGGAGTAAAGTCAGTAAAGTAGTAGTAAAGTAGTAGTAAAGTAGTAGTAAAGTCGTTAAGTAGTAGTACTAAAGCAATCGTAAGGTTGTAGTAAAGTAGTAGAAGTAGTAAATACGGAATAAAGTAGTAGTGAAGTCATGGGTCATAGTAAAGTAATAGTAAAGTAGTAGTAAAGTAGTAGTAAAGTCAGAGTAAAGCTGTAGTAAAGTAGTAGTAAATATGGAATAAAGCCGTAAATAGTGAAGTTGAAGTCGAAGTCGGAGTAAAGTAGTAGTAAAGTAATAGTAGATATGGACTAAAGTAGAAGTTATAGTAAAGTAATAGTGACGTTAAAGTCGTAGTAAAGTTGGAGTAAAGTTGGAGTAAAGTAATAGTAAAGTTGGAGTAAAGTTGGAGTAAAGTAATAGTAAAGTTGGAGTAAAGTTGGAGTAAAGTAATAGTAAAGTTGTTGTAAAGTAATAGTAAAGTTGGAGTAAAGTAATAGTAAAGTTGGAGTAAAGTAATAGAGTAGTAGTAAAGTAGTAGTAAAGTAATAGTAAATATGGACTAAAGTAGAAGTAAAGTCATAGTAAAGTTGGAGTAAAGTCAAAGTAGTAGTAAAGTAATAGTAAAGTCAGAGTAAACTTGGAGTAAATTAATAGTGAAGGAGAAAAGTAATAGTAAAGTTGGAGTAAAGTAGTAGTAGTAAAGCCATAGTAAAGTAATAGCAAATTTGGAGTAAAGTTGGAGTAAAGTAATAGTAAAGATGGAGTAAAGTAGTGGTAAAGTTGGAGTAAAGTCATAGTAAAGTAGGAGTGAAGTTGGCATAAGTTGAAGTAATAGCAAAATCAGATAGTAAAGCAGTAGTACAGTAGTAGTAAAGCTAGAGTAGTCAGTAAAATAGGTGTAAAGTCAGTAGAGTTGGAGTAAAGTAATAGTAAAGTAGTAGTAAAGTCATAGTAAAGTTGGAGTAAAGTCAGAGTAAAATATTAGTGAAGTTAAAGTCATAGTAAGGTCAGAGTAAAGTAGCAAAGTCATAGTAAATTTATAGTAAGGTCAGTAGAGTCATAGTAAGGTCAGAGTAAAGTTGTAGTAAGGCTGTAGTAAAGTTAGACAGTCACAGTGAGGTTGTACAATAGTGAGGTCAGAGTAAAGTCAGAGTAAAGTCAGGAAATTCATACTTGGGTCGTAGTAACGTCGTAGTAAGGTCGTAGTAAGGTCGTAGTAAGGTCATAGTAA